AGGTGTACAAGTTTGAATTTATTTATATAAATACACTGACTTAAATATTTTAATAAGTGGTGTTGAAGGTTCTGTTAACGTGACATGGCCAAGGTCTATTAACTTAGTGACGATCTAATGAAAAGAACTGTAGATTTACACAAACAACTGCAGACTCCAAGATCACGAGCTCAAACAGTTGCATGTAAGTGCAAGTTATTCGGATATGTCATCGATTTGCTAAGGTCTGGAAGAAGACCCAAACTGTCACCCTGAGATGACAGTTTGGAGAAAGGTTTTATGGTCATACCAGACAAAGATTGAGGCATTGTTGGAGGCGTAAACGGGAGGCTTTCAAACCTAAAAACACAGCATGGTGGTTGCATCACGCTCTGGGTCTGTTTGGCTGCCAGTGGTACTGAAACAGGACAATGTTCGCAAACACACATCAAAACTGAGTTTGGAATGGATAAAACAGGGTGACACTACGCTTGTGAACTCTACCAGTTCTTCCAAGAGGAGTGGTCAAATATCCAGCCAGAATTATGCGAGAAGCTTGATGATGGCTGCCAAAAGTGCATGGAAAATGTGAGGCTGTATGTATATTTTTTGACACGTGTGGATTAGAGAAAATTCTAAAAATTGTACACCTAGTTCTTGCTTTTTAAACTCATCCACCCTGGAAAAAGAACACTTCAAAGAAATCATTGAAAGACCAAAGTTTACATGACGTTCATGCCCATGATGACTGTTCATAAGCTTCTGACCACAACTGTAGGTATTTGCTTAGTTCAGTATTCAGTGTGTCAAACTGGTTGATTTTCCCTTCTCAGTGGGGTGTTTGTTCGTAATGGTCTCTTGCACCATCTTGTGGATACAGAGTTTTTTGTTGTTGTTGTTGTTGGGGGAGGGTTTTTTGTCTTAAGTGTTTGCCTTCCCTTCAGCACACAACAAAATGTATGGCTTCTTTATCTGATCTAGCCAGACCAACCACAGATTCAAATATAATTACATTTTATTGCATTATAAAAGCAAATAAGTAATACCTGATTGTTATATTGTAAAGATTATATAAAGCAGTGGTTCCTAAACTTTTTTTGCTAGCCCCCCCTTTGTTTAACAAGAAAATCCCCCACCCATATTTTCTTTTCAAACTCCATTGCAGTTTATGTCACACCTTAAACATTTTTGAAAACAATTAAACAAATAAAAGTAAACTGCAATAGATTACAGGTTGCAATAACATGAAATCCTACCTCTCTTACATAACAGAAAAACAAACCATCTTTATGCTGTAATTATTTTACGTGTAGTTGTTGTTGTTTTTTTTACTGTAGCTGTGGGATACTGTTTGTCCGTGATTTGGACAGCCCAGCGCGTGCTCCCGACTCAGGGGAAATTCTGATGGGGATACCTACCTTGGCACCACCGTTGTGCAAGTGAAGCTAAAGGAGAGATATCATTCATCATTCATTCATCACTTTTTCTACTCTTTGGCTTGGAAGGAAGTTGGTTTGGAAGCATATTTCGCTATGCTTCATCTTCTGCTTTGCGTTTGTGTGGGAGCCCCGTCAAAAACTTGGCCATTATGCGCACAGTGTCCAAGCATTCTTTTTTTTTTTATTCATACCGCGCCCCCACTGCAATAGCTTCAGTAGTTCCACCTTAGGAGCCACTGAAGTAATGTGACAAAGATTTGACCCACTCCTCAGTTTACAGTTAT